AAGAATTATTCAGTGTTAAAAGAGTAACCGATATAAGTATAAAACTTGAGAACTGCGGTAGAGTTATAACTCCATTATGCATAAGATTTCATTTTGATAAATCATACAGTGTTGCACAGTATTATTACTGATGACTACGTTCCGAGTACAAACTATTGCTCAAAATCATATGAAGACACTACTCACACAACCTTTTCCTTAATTTATATAAATGTGGCATTGACCAGATGTGATAATGTACATTCAGAAATAATAATAATTAATATGAGTGTTATTGATCAATTACAATCAGATGGGGAAATAAGACGACTGCTTTTATAGTAATAATAAGTGACTTGTTAGAATGTTGTGATGTGTTTGAATTGAAATAGAATTTTGAGATTATTTATTATCCTCCTCTCTTTTGACTGACTGAGTGGTGGTGATAATATCTCCCATGCATATCTCTGGTATTTGCATTCAGTCATTTCTGTTGCATGTGTTTTGTTGGCTGTAGACCCGATGAACAAGGATTCAGTGATCAATCTCTCTCTCTCCACCAACACAGATTACTTCCTAGAATTCTAACCCTCTCCCATCCTATCGTGTGGTTGTGTGTTAATGCATGCAATGCAATCACTGAGCCCTTTTCTAAATTACTTATTTTCTCACGTCAACCATTCTTACCTTAGCCACTAAATTCTTATGTTCCGAATGTGAAATGCTAAAAGTTTCCATTGTGTTTGATGATTATTGTTCGGAATAGTGGTTAATATTGCATATTTATATATGTATATATTTTTAGTGTATGCGTATATTGATCGATTGATTTTTTGTTTAAACTGAACTCTGTGCAAGTATGTTAAAATTGTTGTTGTAGATATATTTAATAATGTCTTTGCCATGTAAGCAGCTGACGAGAAGGCAACGAAATAAAAGATGGTACCATTTTATTCTGCTAAAACTGTAGTTCTTGCATTGTTCAAATTCATTAAGGGGAATAAATGTATGAAATCTGACTACCCCTGACCTACTTGTTTGACCTACATAGGTGACCTCACTCAAAGTCATTTCAGGGTATTTTATAAATTATATTGTTTTGTATAATTGGGTCCACCGGGTCTTTAACCTACAGAGCTTTTCTCTGAGTGAATTTGTGGATTTAAATGCCACCCTAGTACTTGCTTTATTAGGAATCCTACGTAGGGTCTCACATGTCGCCTCCTTATATGGTATAACGGTTGATGTCTTATATTCCCTCTTATTTATGTTATCACTACTGTTTCTCCAAATTTTTATTTCGCTTTTGGCCTTTACTGATCTTACTACTGAATTTTATAGGATAGTTATTTGATACCAACGCTTCTTCCATCTG